TTCTTTCTTTCTCCCTTTCTTTCTTGCTCCCTTTCTCTTCTCACTTTGTTATGGGCGGACCCCTCAAGGCAAAAGCCTTAAAAATGGCTTTGTTTTCCTCATTTTGTTCACACATGGGCAGATTGCCCAATGTTGCTCTCTTTTTACATTATTTTCTTTTCTTTTCCCTTTATTTTTCTTTCATGGGCGGATTGCCCAAAGCTTGGTGAATTTTTGGCATGTTTCCTTTTCTTTTATGTGGTAAAATTACAAGGCAAAAACCTTTGCAACCTTTCCACCCGCCACCTTGTCTTTTCATTCTTTTTCATTTTTTATTTCTTTATTCCATGCATCACATTCACTTTATATTTTATTTAGCCACTCTTTGACCCATTCAAGTCACATGTAACCCACCTTCTTCTTTCTTCATTTGACCACCTAATGCACCTATCATATTACATGCAAATAAGTTTAATCATATTTTTTCTTTTACTTCACATGGTTGGGGTCCCATATGTCCCCCACTAACTTTTCCTTTTTGCAAACCATAGTTTACATGTAATAGTAACTTTCACATGTATATCTCATATTCCACATAGTTTAACTCCCCTTGGTTAGTAAATGTCCATTTAACTTCAAATATTGAAATTGCACATAAGTCCTCTAGTTTTTCCTTATTTACCATGTGACCTTCCAAACTTTTCATCCTCCACAATTTGGTCCTTCCAATACTTTTTAAATTTCAATTTCCTCTTATTTTCTTCCCCTTACATGTGTACAAACAAAATATAAAATTTACACTTCATCAAGGTATCACTATAATATTTAAATATACACTTACCAGCTCTAACTTTATTTAATAAAGGCACACGGGCCCCACTAACGTCATTTTTCTTCAAAATCCTTTCTTACTTCTCCTCCCCCACTTAGATTAGTCATATAATCCTTCTTCATGACTAATTCCAATAGCAGATAAAATATTAATATTTTAATATTATTTTATTTCAAAATTCTCCACTTGTATCCTCGGGTCCCAAAGTATCTCACTTTATCCTAGTTCACTTCCAAATCACCTTTTAACGTGCTAATTCATCCTCGTTAATAATATTATTATTTAATTATTATTCTCTTTTGTAAGAAATATTTTATTTTAAAATATTCCTTTCACTCATCATCGCTCATTGGTACTTAAATTTATGTCAATTGACCCTTCATCTTGTCAAGACGGTCTTCTTGTCTCTTATACAAGGGTACGACGTGTTACAATGTGGGAATTTGAGTTTATAGAACTCATCTTTGCTAGCACATTGCCATGACATAGCACTCCTAATCCTTGGAGAAAAATTTTTGAGTTCATTGGTGCAGATCACCATTAAAGGCTATACAAGAACTCCTTGAACAACTTTGGTTTGCAACAACGGGCTAAGGTGGTTGAGTCTTTTGGGGGATATTAGGTGGCATAACAAAATATCTAACTTCTTTTGTTATTGAGGTACTATGATTTGATCATATGGTTGCATCCTAGTTTTTGTTTCGGTGCTCAGATTAGCAAGAAAAAGATCCTAAGAAGGTGAGGTGTGTTTTTGTTTGTTTATTTTCTTCCGTTGCAAATCTATTTGTATTTGCTGTATGATTTATTAGGATAAGCCTTGCAGCCAATTGCAATTGGTTTAGGCTTGATTTCAATCATGCAATAACATTATTCATGTTGAATGATTAGAGGTTTTTTTTCATCAATAAGACATCAATTATAACAAGTTATAAAATCTAATTGGATGAAGTCCGTGAGATTAATATGCTTTGCAAGGAAACTTTAATGGGCTGCAATTTTGAGATTCTTATGCCTCAAAGCGTAATCTCAAAAAATGTTCCTGGTCAATGTATCATTGAGACTAGACATCAATGATGCCTAGAGACTAGTACATTCTATGTTCCTTACTTGAGAAGTAAGTAACCAATCTCATAGGTTGAAGTATAGAGATACTTGGAACTAAAATGTAGGTGTTTGCCTAGGATAGCAAGTTTACTGAACATGACCCGTCGTGAGAAGTGCATATGGTATTTCACTCAAGTGTCTATGCAATACTTCTCATGTGTCAATTATGTAAATACTCCCTAGACTTGAGACACCAGGTTGTCTTATGTGTGGAGTGTTATGCTTGGATTTTATCCCTACGGGTGCCTAACCAAGGATGCCAAAATGAGATGCTTTTGGGTATAGCATAAAGCATGTGA